ACACACACACACACACACACACTCCCATTCTCATTAACTATGCGAAATGTCTCTGACAGCATCCGATCGTCTGTCACTTCAGCTTCAGAATAAATTGTTCCCCTGCAGCCGGCTCCTCTCTCACAGCCTCTGTGGCAACAACAGAAAACAAAGAAATCTCCTGCAACGTTTCTGACTCGACGTGTTCCTTAAAATCTAGATCCCAAAGAAAAACAAGGGGACAGAGTGAAGACGCAGGTGAACGAGTCCCATTAAAGATGAAACACAAAAGCTTGTAATGACAGATAATCATAAAATATGATTTCGTGGACTTGAAGATTGTTGTGAATCAAATATAATCAAATACAATACAGAGATTTCTGGCTGTGGATTTAATATCAGCTGCCGGCGGATCAATGATTGTTTGTAGTTCACCCGCTCGGTCTCATCTTCCATCACTGGAATGTGTCGCACAATTAATCGCATAACAATTGTGATTTCATTTATCACTCATGTCCCGGTGATAATGTTGCTTTACCCACGTGACGCAGAGAACCTGGAAACAGGCTGTGGTGCTCTGAGCGAGAGAAAAGAGAAGTGGAGGAAAGTTGAGGACAAATTCAGGATCAAGGATTTCTGTATCAACTTTTCTGAGGCTGTAGCGGCACAGAACTTTTAAAAAGATAAGAAAGTTCAAAGTCCTTCAAAGGACTGAACGTGAGTAAAAATACAACCTTACCTTGTGTGAACACCCGCTGCTGCTGAGCCACACAAATAAAATGGAGGTGTAAGTTCTGTACGAGGCCACAGGGAAGTTATTACAAAACACTAAGAGTTTATATACACACACACCCACTCTCACACACACACACACACACACACACACACACACACACACACTGAGGAAAGACAACACCTCCCATAAATAAGAAGCAGGTGAAGAGAAAAAGAACCACGAGGGGGGGAAATCATCCACAGCCAATTAAGTCTTCTGCCAGGAACAATGAGCCCCGGTCGACCCCGGATATGGACCAATCAGCACTGACGTCAGATGAAGAATGTGTAACTAGTAGGTGTGTGTGTGTGTGTGTGTGTGTGTGTGTGTGTGAGAGAGAGAGACAGAAATGGACTTTACGACACCTTTAAGCACCAGAGTCCTCCAGGGAGCTGTTGCACTTTAACTCAACATTAATAAACAGATCCTCACACACACACACACACACACGGTGGAGGAGGAGTCACTGAAAGATGATTTAAGTCGGAGGAATGTACAGACGGAGAACGCAGCCGCCATGAACCAGTTATTAACGTGATGTAAGAGCAGAGCTGAGCCTGTTGACACCGAGTGGAGCTGGACATGCATCATCTGCTGCAGCGGCACCGATGCTGAGAGACGCTGTGAAAGTCGTCAGTAAACACGCGTGTGCTCTGAAGGTGTCTGGGCTTGTTCTGTTGTGAAGTCACATAAAAGTCCTGTGATTATAGATAAGAAGCGGAGCTGTTTTTCCAGTGCGGCAAATCCGAGGCTCATTGACTCACAGCAGGGATTCAGATCATCACGTCAAAAATACTGTTTTTCTCTTTGATTTCGTTTGAGGAGACGGAGGAGAAAACATGCAGGGAAATGATTATTGGGGTATTTTCTTAACTCTTCTGTTGATGATCTCAGAGACCAACATGTTGGTGACAAACAAAGACGTAATAATTGATTACTTTAGAAATGTAGTGGAACTATCTGTCATTAACTGTGAAATGAGCCTGAACAGTCTCAGGACAGACTAAGGACATCTGCTCATCTACTGTACAAGCCGTCAAAACGAGTCTCTCTCCATCGGCTGCTGTGTCTGCGTCTCTGTCCAGGCCTCAAGTGTTTGTGTCCAACTTAATGTCCCTCGGGTGCAAACAGGTCACACACACACACACTCTGTTACCTGCAGCACCAGAGACTCCTTGTCCCCCTCTAGGCGGAGCAGTCGGTCCTGGTAGGTTTCATTGTTGGCTGGAGAACACGAGTTCACCTGGACACAACAACACAGAAGCAGAAACAAACCACAGATCGTTAGCGGAGGCTGGAAATCACGTCAGGTGTTAAAAGTAAAAATCTGGATTTAAATGTGGTGTCATATTCTAATGAGACCAATTGGACCAAAAGAAGAGAATTCATAATTTAATCAAGATGCACATTTCTGTTAACAATGTGATTTAATAATAAATAAGTATGTTTTCTCTGAGGAACATGTTGTGAACCTGGATTAATCGAGATGTTTAAGATACAAAGCTTTAGACTCATGTTATTATTTCATCATGTATCATTACTGTGAATAACTGAAACTCCATTTAAATAATTATATGACTGAAGCAGCAGTGATTAAGTTTCATCCTGTTATGTTTGCGACAAGACACTTTCTATTTTACATTGGTCGTATTTGTTATTTACAGATATTTTAAAGATATTTTTCAAGTTGTTTTCTGTTGGTAAGTAAATAAAAATCCAGAATAAATCACGTTAAATCTTAAAAATGTCATATTGGTGAGCAGGACTTTGAATCTCCTCAGGCCTGACGGAGGAAGCCGTGTAGATTCTTCCCTGAGAGTTAGCGACAGGTTTGTCAGGTGATGAATCAGACGCAGTACAGACGATGACGTGAACACAGCAGCAGGAAAGAGATTAAAATATCGAAGCAGCGTCTGTGGGTTTGTTTTTTTTTTTAGAGCTGCATCGATGCTCTTCCTGTTTGGTGGACGGGTCGGAGCTGCCTCCTGCACCAGAGGCTGACAGAGCGGCTGCTGTTCACATTCAGATTTTTCACGAGCACATGATGCAGATGCACATTATTAAAACCATCTGACTCATCTGACTCCCATTTATCCAGAAATAACCCAGCGCTGGCAGTGAGTTATCATCATGCTCCAGAGGCTTGTGTTCTGATTTTCAATCCATAGACTCATCTAGAACAACTCCTCTATATATCTTTATGTCGTGAAACCAAGCAGGAGTAAATAGAAATCTGATTTGTTTCTGCAGACTGTGTGAAAGAGCTTTTTCTTTTTGGTCAGGAAGTCAAGAAATCAAGCAGAACTCATTTAAATGGTGTCGTCAGAGGGGTTTTCCATATCTTTGTAAAAGTCCGATTGTCCTGTCGTTGAGTGTTTGTTCACAGGGAAAATCTCCTGCTGTGTTCTTACATGAGCTGATTCAGACATTCTGTTTACGAGGACGCTGTCGGGAGAAACTCCGGAGAAAGTCTGGTGCAACTGACTCGGAAAGCATCTTAGTGTTTGGACAGTTTCTCTAGTTACCTCTGAAGAGGAGCTTATGTTTTCACTGGTGTTTGTTTGTTAGTTGGTTGCAGGATTACACAAAAACTACCGAACCGAACAGATTGGAAGTTGGAAATCTCGGACTCCGAGCATCTCTCAGACATAAACTTCCTGCCTCACAGTCGTCGTCCTCTTCTGCAGGTTTAACGTCTTTCAGCTCATTGTTTTGGTTTTTAAAACCTGCGTCTTGATAATGAGAATCAACCGAACTCAGACACAAGACCCTGGAATCATCAAGTAATCCTTCAAGATCCGTCTGCAGCTGAGGTCAGCGAGTTCAGAGGATCCGACAGTGACCATATGGACACATTAAACCTGGGAACTTAGTGTAAACGAAACCGACAGAAAGGGAAACAGAGGGAGGGAGCGAGGGATGAACAGAGAGTAAAAAGATGCCTTCACTGACACCGTGTTTGGATGAAGTGTCAGAAGCAGCAGAATGGAAAGAGTTAAAAAGTCTTTATTTAACTCCGAACACCAACAAGGTCACAGCGGAACCTGTGGCTCGTCCCTCCTGTGGCAGGAACTATTTGATCTGGTGAGTTTCTACATTGGGGAAACACACGTTTAAATGTTTTAAATTAAATAATCTACACATGGCGACGAGTGACAGCTGCCGAAGATAAACTACGACTTCATTGTAGGTTGGGTTTTTTGGAATATTTGAACATTTATACAACAAAAGCTTTGGTCAGTGGAGCCAATGGGACCAATCACATACAGAGCTGTGTACAGTGTGATCCCAGAGTAGAAGAATGCATGACAACATGCAGGGCACCACCTACTTTTAATGATTCACAGAAGAAGTGCT